TTAGCTATTTGTCTCAGTAACTGAACTTGTTTTCCTCACAAATAGGGTCAGTTCCTGCACTAAGCAAAATGACTCCCGCTAACCATTTGGTAGAGCGAACAGCTATTTTGCGCGATCTCAAGCGACAAAAAGAAGAGGTGAGTGCAGTCTTTTTCTTATTCTGTCCGCAATTGACGTTTTAGAATAAAAGCATTTTAAATTCGTCAATGATGGAAGGGTTTTGTTAGTTGTGTAAAAAAATTTCTTTTCTTTTCAGCTCCAAGGGAAAATTCAGAAGTTAATTGCAGCAGAATATCCAGGAGGAACATGTCAAAGTTCTTTTTCATCTTTCTTATCTCCGACTTTTTCCAAGGTATTGTCAGTTTTTTACCTGGATTTCTTTCTCTTTCGTAACCATGCATGATCACAGACCTCTTCATCGAGCAATTTTATTGGCTCGTTCTTTCGTTGCTTCGGCTTGATCTTTCTTCTGACTTCGATCTTGACTGTGTTCGTTCAGTCGGTCGGTTCATCGATGTTATTACTTTCGATTTTTTGCTTGGTTTGACTTTTGTTTGGTTTGATCATTCTTTGGTGCGTCTGGGCCTGTTCTCGCGCTTTCGTTCGCTCTCGCGTAAGCTGATGCGATCATTTGGGCGATGGCAGGTTATTTCTCTATTTAATGTATGTGTTTTTAATTTCCTTTTTTTTTTTCCTTTCCCCTGTAATACAGGTTCTACAAGAGAAAGCTCAAGCCCCTCAGCTGGGAAGAGTCACCATTCCTGTGCCATCGAGCACCAAATCCAACAAATATTGCGTCACCTTGAAACCACAGGAATTCAGAACACTTCACACTGTATTTGTCAGTTAGAAACGAAAATGTGTACATAAATTGTAAAATCTTTGACAGAATAATGTTATATTTAGTAGTCGAAGGTGGAGAAATGAGTGGTTTCGCCTTGATCAGCTGTGACAGCCAGGGTACAACCGACTTACCGAAACTTAGCGAAAAGTGCTGTGAGTCTCAAGGCCTACTTTGAAATTCTTGCCACATGTTGCCGCACATTTTCTTTTGTGCTGTTTTTGAGATTGCAGTACAGTCGCCGACTCTCGCCCTGCGGGCACCTCGCTATTACGGACACCCCACAATTTGCGGACAAGAGCAGTTAGCAAGGCCGCGTTAGAAACCTTGTCCAATTCACTTCGCTTATAAGAGAGCGTGATATATCAATTAAGAAACTACTGAACATTATTTCTGTTACCTTCACGGATAATATTGACTTTTCAAGAGAGGAGGTGACAACAACAACAACGAAAGCAACTAAAACAAAAATTGTCTTAAAAAAAAGCTTAAATTAAACGAGAACAGCGTTATATGATAAGATGTAAAATTTTATAACGATAACGGGAAGGTCTCCGCTGCTTCGTTTCCAGGAACACGAGATGCTCGTATTCTTGGATGTAATTATTTAGAATTGACCCGTTTGCAGTGAACGGCAGCAAATGGAAGAAATCAGGCCTCGAGTCTCTCGGAGACTTTTTGAGGGTTAGGAAATAAAGAAAAAGTAAATATATTAAGAACTGATTACCGTTGTCTGATTGAGTTTTGTTTGAAACAAGTTTGTTCTTTGGAGAGTAGATCCTTGTTTCAATCCTTCATCCCTTTTTTTCTTAGCTATGCTGAAATATTCAAATCTGATTGGTTAAATAGCGATGCATCGTATTACTTCCAGAGGTTTCGCGCCAAAAATGCTCTTGCACGACGTGCCGTCGCAACTGGCTGTCTATTTCTTTCCTAACTTTTTCAGAAAGGTCGTTGAGCGTCGTAATCGGACTTTTATCTCGGAAAATCAAAGGTAGGGTGAGACCATAGAGTTTTAATTATAGTGCTGAGTAAGTGTTTACATCAAGATGGAGAGAGGTTACCTCGAGCGTCATGCGTGTTTTCTTAATTTTTGTTTTGTTTTGTTTTTTTTACGATCACTTTGGAATTTTGGTGAAATATTGTGATGACAAATAAGAGGAGAAACGTTCGTAAAGTTGAAATATATCGTAGTTACTAAAACAAGGAATGACCTAAAATGAACGTAAGTGACTTCTAAAATGATCTAAAATGACCCTGAGTGATGTGCACAATGACCTAAAATAAAAAAAAAAACCCTAAAACACAGGCGTCCCCAAGCTCATCGGAGACCACAACGGACACACAAGGTGTAAGTTAGTCCTATTTGATTTTACGTGTAAAATGTTCTTATTTCGAAATATTTTATCGTCGTAAATCGACCGTATTTCGTTCCCTATATTTTCCCTATAACGTGTTCAAATTCTTAACGGGATCTTCTCCTAACCCTAACACCGAGTCATAAATTAATCGTTTGCTTTTTCTCAAGACGTGAGCTTGGGACGCCTGTGCCTAAAATGACTGACTGATGTCTAAAATAACCAAAAATGACGTTTAAGTCTAGCCATAGAGACCACAATAGTAGCTGGTAGTAGCACAATAAGCTAAGGTGTTCGAAGTGATCTAACGTGGCATACTACTAAGTGAAACCAACAAGGTAAGCACTCAGCTCGCACATTCAATTCTGTTTCACTGTTGTATATCACTGGCAGTTACTATTTTAAATTGTTCCAGTAAAGCTTAAATGTCATTTTACGTCATTTAAGTCATTGTAGGTCATTTTTGATCATTTTAGGTCAAGACATCAGTCAAGGTTACATTTTAGGTCATCTTAGACATCACTTAAGGTCATTTTTCGTCATTTTAGACATCACTTAAGGTCATTTTTGGTCATTTCAGGAATCACTCAAGGTCATTTGAGGTCATTTTAAGTCATTCCTTGTTTTAGGAACTACCAAAAATATCTTTAAAATCGCGTTGTGAAAATTTAAGAATCTTCAGTTTTTTTCGTCGCACAAATGAACGCCAACGAAGGAGGATATCGTCGCTCGCATACCATAAGTCACGACAGTGTTTTTACTGATATATAGTTGATAAGGTCTGGATCCGAATATGTTAAACAGACTTTTTCTGGGCTGTGACTAAAAGTGGGACGGGGACGTGGGACGGGGACGTGGGACGGGGACGTGGGACGGGGACGTGGGACTGGGACTCGGGGACGTGGGACTCGGGGACGTGATAAGCAAACAACACCTGAATTTGTAAAGTATAATTTTCGGTGGTCTCGAGGAAGGTGTAATATGCTGGAGAGCTTGTGGGGTGACTCTACATCGAAGGCGTTCGTCGAAAGTAAGAGTACACGGTAATTTTGGTCGGCGGGGAAATAATGAAACCTGCGAATAT